AGGCCCGAGTGTGCCTCGGGCAGGACAGAATGCGGTCTTCTCTGTACTTACGGGGCGCTGCCTACGCTTGTCTGGTCTCTTGATCACACTGCATGCAGCTCTTCAGCTGAACCCCAGGCTCTCCACTAGCTGTGACCCTGGAGACCCAGGGGCACCATCTGAGGCTCGGGTGTGCCTGTCCTCGCATGCACACTTGGCACTGTGATCCTCCAGGAGGGCTTCCTTGCTCACCCAAAGGGGGGCCCCTTAGGAGCTTGGGGACCTGACGTTCAGAAGGGGACTGTCCTCAACATGGGCCCCAGATCCTTGCTTTCCTTTGGGGCGCAAGAAGAGGAAGGAGCGGCCCAGATTGGCTGGTACGTGGTCCTCTTGGCCTCTCTTGGTTAGGGGCGTTTGGGCATGCTGACCTGTTCTCGGGAGGCTCAGGTGGCGCTGGAAAAGGAGCGGGAGGTGGAGCACAGCTGAGGCGGAGGTGTTAGCACGTGAATCTAACATGCATGTCGCGTCCTCGGGCGGAACGTGGTCAGGCAGTTTCCAGGCGCTCTGCATCGCTGGTGAGAAGTAGATAGATGTAGCGCAGGTCCTCCTCAAGGGCAAGCTCAGAACACGGGGCTCTTCCGGGGGCTGCACCCAGCCGTGGAGGACTGGCTCCCGGGCAGCTCCCATGGCATGGCACCACCATGCTCTGGCCATCCTGTCGCAGACTGGGGCCCCAGCCTCAGTGCCCCCGGAAATACTGCACTCCTGAGCATGCCCCTCCAGACCCCACCGTGGTGCGTTGAGCCAAAGCCGGCGTCACATGCACCCAGCTCTCCAGAGAGGGAGCGGGTGGGTTGCCCTGCGGGCAGAGCGGGAGGACTGGTGTTTGTGGCCTGAGGCGTAGCCTGGGGCTTTTGCTTTCCCTGTGAGGCCTTTGCAGCCATGCCTGGAGATAGGCCTGCTGTCCTTTCCGACCCAGAGGAGGAGCAGTGGCAGAGAGCTGTGCTGGAATCTGCCAGACCACAGGTTCCCCCGGGGTTCTGGTGCGGGCTGAGGAGCCTGACAAGCACTCTGAAGTGCCGAGCACAGGTGGCGGCAGCCACAGCTAGGTTTTCTGATGGAGTGCCAGGGGAGTGCCCGTGCCTGGGCTCCAGGGCAGCTGGCCCGGCCCGGCCCTGGCTCTGCCAGCACTTCGGGCCGTGGTGTCGCAGGCCTTTGTTGTAGAACTCATCGCAAACTTCCTTTCCACTGCAGGCGTGAGGCACTGGCCCAGCCGCCTTGCCACTCGCTGTGTGACCTGAGGAAGCCCTTCCTATCTCCAGCCCTCCTCCATATCTATGTCACGAGGGCCAGATTCTGCTCTGAGGCTGTGACCGTGGTCGAGGCAGCAGGCAGGCCTGGTGTGTCCCCACCGGCCCGGGGTCCAGGCCTTGCCCTGGCTGTCGTTTCCTGCTCCTTGACCTGAGCCTGCCCCGCCCTGCTGTTTGCTCATCCTTCGGGTGGGGCCTGAGAAGGGTTGAAGACTAAGCACGCAGGGGGCCTGGCACCAGGAGTGCGGTGCTGGGCCTGGACCTTCAGCCATGGAGACAGGCAGCCCTCCTTGGCCACCACCAGCCACACCCCCTTCCAGGCTGCCCTGTGGCGGCCTGCCTGCATGGCAGTCCTAAGTGGGAGTACATGGGCAGAAGGACAGGGAGATCAAGGCCAGGTCCCTCACCCCCACTTGAAGCATGTTCTTCCAACTCAAATGCCAGTGTAGCCCGTGGCAGGGCACAAGCTGGCAGGGAAGGTTTCCGGGGACTTGTGATCAGCCAGCACAGGCTGGTTCCCCAACTTTGCTTTCAGGGGTCAGGACACCCCCTCATGGCAGCAAGGCACTTTGAAAATCTCCAGCCGAGGCTGGGGCTAGCTGCATGTGGGGGAATCAGGAGTGTGGACCCCCCACAACCCAGGGCTGACCCCAAGTCCCTGTGGGGGTCCTGCCTGTGCCCAAGGGCTGAGGACCCTGATGCTTGGTGCATTCGTTTGCCTTCCCTTGTGGAGCTCACAGTATACGACCAGAGTGGAGGGCGCTTACCTTCCGCCCCCAGCCCAGGCCCCGGTGTCCACCTCTGTAAGTGAGGCTTGTGCTCGGCCACCCTGAACCCAAACTGACCTCATCCATGTTCTGACCATTGTGTCAGGCTGCTCTCACCACAGGGCTTTGGGCAGCCACCCTCCAAGGGCGGCCCTGAGAGGGCTTGCTAGCTAGGGCCCCACTGGGGCCTACAATGGCTCCCTGGTGCCGACCACCAGCCCAGGAGCATAGTGAGGTCCACAGGGGTTTAGAACTTCTCCTCCCTGCTGAGTGGGGGAGGAGCTGGTGACTCGGGCAAACCTTTCTTCCTGTGCCTCAGCCCCGGACTCTTAGGGACTCTTAGGGGCAGCCGCAGCGCAGCTGGAGGCCTCAGGGATCTGGAGCCCTGGCTTGGCTTCCATAGGACGGTGCCCTGGAGCAGGGAGCTGGGCCACAGCAGAGGCAAGGATGGGAGAAGGTAGTGTGAGCACATGGGGAGAAGGCCGGACTGGGCCCCGTCCTGCACCCTCCATGGCCCTTGCGCCCATTCCTCTACCTTAGGGAATCTAGGCTTGGCCTGCTGCTTCCCTGCTCCATCCACTGGGGACAGGGCATCCTGTTGGCCTCTTAAAAACACCGCTCAGGTGACACCAAGCACCCCAGCTGTTTCTTCTCCCTGTCCTAGGTAGGACTCTGAGCTGTGTCCTGGGAATAGTGGGGGCAGGCGCCCTCGTGGCCCAGAGGATATAGCCACCTCCCAGCCATTGAGCCAAGTGTGTGCTAAGACACTACTAGCTGACCTGGATCCCAGGGCCTTGGGGACATTGCTTGTGGGGAGATGGGAAAAGGAGGATCCTCTCCCCAGGACCCAGCCAGCCATGTGTCTGTCTTTCTTCTTTAGAGCTCAAAGTGGCTGCCTGGACGCCTGCCCTCAGGGAAGGCATTTTCTGTGCATCAGCTATTTAGTAGGCCACTCCCCTCCTCCCCCTTGGAGTCCAGGCCTGCGGTGTCCCTGGGGCTGGCCTGCCACATGGGCTGTCGCTCCTAGGGAGCTCTTAACAGCAGGCAGCCCAGGGTACCTATGGGCACCCACCCGATCCCGGCACCTCCTGCCCAGGCTGTCCAGGGCTGTTGGCCATTTTCTTTTTGTGTCTGGAAGGAGGGTCCCAGCCTTCTGCCCAGGACCGAGGCAGCTCTGTGGCCTCGGCGTGGCAGGTGTCACAATGCCTGTGCCCAGGAGTGCTGTAGCAGTCTGGTTTCTGTCCTGCTGAAGAAACTGGGGAGGACAGGGTTTACTCTGCGTGGGCCGGGGCAGCTCCCCATCTGTGCGACAGAGCGCAACTTCCCTGTGGCAGGCGTCTGTGGCTCTCGGCTCCTGCCTGCCCCCCTCCACACACATATCAGGCTGGCGGAAGGGATCCCTTGGGGCGGGGGAAGGGCGCGGGGATCACATGACACCCAAGCAGAGCCCTGGCCAGCTGCTGGCCACGACTCAATATGGTTCTGCTGTGTGGACCTGCTCAGAAATGGCCTGGCCGCCTGGCCCTAGCTCCTCCTGTGGCTGCCTGACCAGTGCTGATGGGGCCCTGCTGGGAGCTGGCGCTGTGCCGGGCTTTCAGGGGGGTTAAAGCCCAGTGGCCAGTGGCAGGTACCTCCTGCCTGAGACCCAACACTGCTGCAAGGACTAGGGTGCTCACATGCTAAGGCCAGCTGGGCAGGATGTGGCTGAAACCCCTGGGAATGAAGGAGGCTCTGGCAGCCAAGCCTAGACCTGTCCGGGCCTGGGAGATACTGTGGCCTGTGGGGGGCACCTCCCAGCCTCCGGGCTGCCCCAAGGCGGTTTGCCCAGCATTGGCCGGAGAGTGTCTGTTTTGTACTCCTGAATCCAAGGGAAATTCAGCTTTGGGGGTGTGGGTGTGCCTGCAGGTTCCACTAACTTCCAAGAAATGGGGCTGGCCCTGTCTCCAGAGGAGGTGGCGTTCTGGAGCTCCGGGCTCACTGCGAGGTCCCTGGCCCTGCTCCTGATGCAGAGCCAGAGCCAGCAGACAGCCTCCGGTCACAGGAAGTGGGTTTCCTGCAGATGGCTCCAAAGAGCCTTCCCGGGTCCTCTGGGGTGGGCAGAGGGTAGAGCCAGGCTAACCCAGCATTTCTACCTGGACTTTGGTGAGCAGTCCCGGACCAGTCTGCACTACCTCCCCCAGTGGGTGGGGGACCCCTTCTAGCTCTGGCAGCGCTGCATGGCTGGTGGCCCTGTGTAGGGCTCACACCCCCAGCCCCTCACCACCTTGAGTGTACCCCTGCACCCCTTCCCTGGATGGCACTGGTGGGAGGGAGCTGGGAAGCCTGGCCTGGGGTGGCTATGGTTTAGTGGCCTTGCTGACCGTGGTGAGCAGTCCCAGACCAGTCTGCACATGCAGGCAGCCTCCCACCTCCCAAAATAAGGGCCTGTCCTTTCTGCCCTGGGGCCTCAGGACCGGCCAGGTTGAGGCCAGGTGACCTCTTCCTGTCTCCTTCAAGGCCCCAAGAGGGTTGTGTGCAAACCCAGCGCCGCCACCATTCATATCCGCCCCTCCATGAGGAGCAACGGGCGCCTGGGAACCCTCTGCTGCCCAAGCAGCACGAGGCACGAGTGAGCAGAAGGGGAAGGAAGTGGCCTCGGATGTGGCGGTCTGGGATGTCCCACGCCTGCCCCAGCCTCGTGCTGCTGCCCGGGGCTGGGTCATCCAGGGCCCCCAGCTGGACAGAGAGGATGGGGATGAGGGAGCCGGTGAGGAAGCCTGGGGCCATCGAGGCTGGCTGGTGGGCCGGAGCGCTGGGCGGTGGCCTTCTGCCCTGTGCTCTCACTTCACCCAGGGCTGGAGGTCTGTGCCGCTGCCCGCCCTTGGGCAGCAAAAGCTCGCGCAGACCCAGGCCCTGCATCTGCCACCAGGCAGCCCCTCATGGCCCCTGGGCCTTGTCTTTGCAGAGCTCCACGCAGGAGATCGGTGAGGAGCTGATCAACGGGGTCATCTACTCCATTTCCCTGCGCAAGGTGCAGCTGCAGCATGGCGCGAGCAAGGGCCAGCGCTGGCTCGGGGTGAGTGCGGCTCGGGGCCGTCCTGGCCACCCCACGGCCCCTTCCCCGGACTGTCCTGCCTGAGTGCCCCGCTCCCCATCCCAGAGGACTCTGGGCCGAGGTCCCACCCACCCCTGGCCAGGTGCAGGGGCCTTGCCAATACACCACCTATGTACGAGGGAGGACACCATCTCGCCTGAGGCCACAAGTGTCCTGGGTTCATCCCCGTGTCCTGCGCAGCGGGCGGCTGATGGTCCTGCCACACGGTCTCGGGGCCTTGCACGCAATCACGTCGAGTGGGCTGTTCTTCATCCAGGGTCTCCATGGGTCGGAGCCAGGACATGACGGCTCCATGATATTCCAGAAGGGAAGCAGATGCTGTTGGGCCCAGTCCCATCTGTGATCATTTCAGCCTCATTCTGGAAACCTCCTGTGTGTTCTAGGAGAAGAACCTCTGCCAGGAGAGAGAAGCCTCTGTGTTCTCCTCTCTAGATTAGGCTGTTTTGTTAGGAATTGCTGAGATAGTGCTCTTAGTTATCTGAGGGGCCACCCCAGGACCTTCTCTCCACAACAGTGGGGGGTGTACCGGGGACTGCGCAAGCCAGGCAGGCGCTATGCTGCTGAGCTGTATTTGGGACAGGGTGTGGCCAGATTGCCCAGGCTGGCCTTAAACTCGTGGTCTTCCCACCTCAGCCTTCCAAGTAGCTGGGACACAGGCCTGTCCCCGAGACCGAGTGGTCTCCTAAATTCACCTAGTGTCCCACCTCTGGCCACAAGCCACGGGGGCAGCGTGAGTCTCCTGGAGGCAGGCAGTGCTGACGCCGACTCTGCTCCTCCCGTACCACCTGCAGTGTGAGAATGAGTCGGCCCTGAGCCTCTACGAGACCTGCAAGGTGCGGACAGTGAAGGCGGGCACACTGGAGAAGCTGGTGGAGCACCTGGTGCCTGCCTTCCAGGGCAGCGACCTTTCCTACGTCACCGTCTTCCTGTGCACCTACCGAGCCTTCACCACCACCCAGCAGGTGCTGGACCTGCTCTTCAAAAGGTGCACACCCACCTCCAAGCCAGGGATGGGGGAGGGGCGGGGGTTCACTGCCTGCTGGTGGGGGCTGGGAAGGCCTTGCACCCCTCTGCACCCTGGCTTGCACCCTTTGGAGGGTGTCATGAGGACCAGGTGGGAAGAGCTTGGATATGCTCCAGCCTCCGTTACTTGAGGCCCGAGGCAAAGCAGTTTGATCTGGGGCACTCTTGTCTGGGTGACTCCTGTCTGGGTACTAGCCAGTAAAAGAACCTGGGGTGGCCCGCGGGGCCTGGGGCCTGCGGAGATACCTGCGGAGACGCAGATGTGTCTCTAGGCAGCATATGATGCAGTGCAGGAGGCAGGGACGTCCCTGCCATCCTGGGCCCCCTTTCTCTCGGGGGCTCGCCCAGTAATACTAGACGTCGTCGTGAGCAGGTACAGTAGATGTGACGCCCTCACGGCCTCCTCTAGATATGGCTGCATCCTCCCGTACTCCAGCGAGGACGGCGGGCCGCAGGACCAACTCAGAAAGTAAGTGGGCTTTGGATCAAGAGCGAGGGCTCCTTGTGGGAACCTGCAGCTTGGGAGAGCGGGCGCACACCAGCCCTCACCCCTGTGGTTCTCTGGGAGGGCACGGGCCTGGCCTTGTCTGCCCAAGGAGGGAGAGGAGTGGGGCAGGGTTGGCGGGGGCCTGGGGGGCAGTCCCAGTTTCTGAGCTGGAATGTCCAGGGCAGATACTGCACTGCAGGGAGCAACCTGCTCAGCTGTTGCCAGGGCTTGGTGACTGCAGGGCAGTTGTGCACGTGTGTCCCAGATGTGCCCCAGAGACCACAGTGCTTGCAGCCTGAGGCATCACCGGCAGGCAGGGGGCTTCTCTGAGCAAGGGGAGAGCTGGCCGGCCCCATAGGGTGGGGAGGCCAGGCCCCTGACGGCTACCCACCTGCCCTCCCTCAGCGCCATCTCCTCCATCCTGGGCACCTGGCTGGACCAGTACTCGGAGGACTTCTGCCAGCCTCCAGACTTTCCCTGCCTCAAGCAGCTGGTGGCTTATGTGCAGCTCAACATGCCTGGCTCTGACCTGGAGCGCCGCGCCCACCTGCTCCTGGCCCAGCTGGAAGACATGGAGCCCAGCGAGACTGAGCCTGAGTGTGAGGAGGCCTGGGTGGGGACCTAAGAGCACAGGAGGAGGGGTCTGCTCTGGGCTCGCTGGGCGGGAGGCACCAGGCTAGCACAGGGCTGGGGGCTGGGGGCAGGGGTTTTAGCTGCAGCCTGGACAGGGAGGTCCTCTTGGTGGTCAGCAACCAGGACGCTCTCTTTGAAAGGCCCGGGCACAGCAGTCACATGGGGCGTCTTTTCTTTCAGTGTTGTCACCAGCACCAGTGCTAGCTCTAAGGCCTGCTGCAGAGCTGGAGCCAGCTCCGGTCCCGCTCCTAACATCCACACCCATAGCTGCGCCAGCCTCAGGCCCCCAGCTGGAGCCAGCCGTGGCTTCCGAGCTCGTGTTGGCTCCAGCACCTGCTGTAGAGCAAGAGCCATTGCTGGAGCCTGAGCCACGTGCAGTGGCTGCTGCAGAGGAGCCGGAGCCCGCTCAGACACAGACTCCAGAGCTGGAGCTGGCCCCGGGCCCCGGGCCATCTGTCGAGCCACCCTGGCCGCCTCCTCCGGGGGCCGCAGAGAATGGACTGAGCCGGGAGCAGCCTCATGTCCTGGTGTTCCCTCCTGACCTGGTGGCGGAGCAGTTCACGCTGATGGACGCGGTGAGTGTACCAGGCTCCAAGGGCCAGGGAGGGGTGGGCTTCTTTCTCTGGGCCCCTGACACCCAGACCTGCTGTTCCCTCACCCAGAGCCTGCATTTCTGTCCAAATCTCGGCTCCACCTCACACACTGTAACCAGGGCAAGTTTTTGAGCCTCACCTTGCCCCAAGGCAGTAGACTCAGGCCCACCCCTGCCTCCCCTAGGAGGATTCCTGCAGCAGGACTGACAGGCTGGGCGCAGAAGGCTTGTGGGGGAGGGGTGCACCCAGACAGGGCCCCACCGTCCACCCCTCGCCAACCTCAGCACTTAGCACACACCTGCTTCAAACTAGAAGCTACGCGAATGTGCACACAGCCCTGGGGGTGCGCCCCAGTCTGAGCAGGTGCAAGCCACAGGTGGGGCAGACGCTGCTGTCTTCCTCCTGCCACTGTCATTTCCCTGGATCACTCCTGTGTGCGGTTTCCTCAGTAGTCAGGGAACAAAACCCAGGGAGTCCCACGCGGCTCCAGCCACTTCCTCAGCTTCCAAGCCTGTGTGGTGCAGTCTTGCCCTGGGGGACAATGGCCTGTGGCAGCGCCTGGTGAAACAGACCCTCTCCCCAGGAGCTGTTCAAGAAGGTGGTACCCTACCATTGCCTGGGCTCCATCTGGTCCCAGCGGGACAAGAAGGGCAAGGAGCACCTGGCGCCCACCATCCGTGCCACCGTCGCCCAGTTCAACAATGTGGCCAACTGTGTCATCACCACCTGCCTTGGGGACCGGAGCATGAAGGCCTCGGACAGGGCCCGGGTGGTGGAGCACTGGATCGAGGTGGCCAGGGTATGCTGCTGGAGGGACCCAGGACCCTCTTCCCCTCTCCTGCTCTCAGATGTGGCCTGGGGTCAGAGCCCTGCAGGCACCAGGCTCCTCTTCCTGGCCCCCAGGTCCTCTGCGGGGGCCCCCCTCCCACTGAGACTTCTCAGTTTAGGCTGAAATCCCACTCTCTCTCCCCCTGGGGCCCCACGTATACCCGTCAGGGGCTTGCCAATGTCCAGGGCCAGGGCAAGGCTGGCTTGAGCTCCAGCATGGCTCAGGGTCCTCCCCCCTGCAGGAGTGCCGTGTCCTGAAGAACTTCTCCTCCCTCTACGCGATTCTCTCTGCCCTGCAGAGCAACGCCATCCACCGCCTGAAGAAGACGTGGGAAGACGTCTCCAGGTGGGTCTCCCACACCCTGCGCAGCAGGCCCAGGCCACAGGCCCTGAGGGCAGGGCCACTGGGGTGGGGGCTCCTAGGCCAGGCGGCACATCTGCCTCAGCACTCAGCTTCCATTTGCCTGACATCGGTGAGACCCCATGTGGGTCTTCCAAGTGTTTAGCCCAAGGGGTCCCCCTCTCGGGCACACAGAGCCCGCTGAGGAGCCTGGCTTTGCCTCTTGCCTCTCCCTGTCGCTCCTGACCAGCCCCTTCTCTCTTCCTTTCCCAGGGACAGTGTCCGGATATTCCAAAAACTGTCTGAGATTTTCTCTGATGAGAACAATTACTCACTGAGCAGAGAGCTGCTCATCAAGGTCAGCGGGGGCTAAGGAAACACGGCGCGGGGGTGCTGGCTCCTGTCTGAAAGGCTCTTTGCAGGATTCCCCAGAGGAAGGGAAGAGGGAATCTCTTCGGGCCTTAGTAGCCGGGGCCGCTGGGGCACTGGAGGCCCCCACTCACTGGACGTGAGGCGAGCAGCTGGTTGTTCAGGAGCATGGGCGAGCCCTTGGGACTCACAGCTGCCCGGCGTCCTGGCTGAATTAGCATCCTCCACACTCGCTGGGTAGATGGAAGGGGGTGTGGCTGCCTCGCCGCTGCCCCACGCTGCGCCACAGAACCAGGCCCCGCTTGCCTGTCTGCTTGCACTGCACTCCCAAGGAGGGGCTTCCTGGGATGGGAGCCCTGGGGGCCACCCTTGGGCCAGAAGGTCCAGGAGGAAGAAGTAGGTACACTGTGCAGCTCCGCCCTCTGCCTACAGCAGAGAATGCTGACAGGCACCAGAGGACCTGCAGGGCCACCAGGAGCCCCAGTGCCATGGCATACGCCTCGCTGGCTCAGAGGCAGATGAACTCTCAGGGTCCCCATTGGCCCAGAGCAGGCGCATGACAGGAAGCAGTTACTCTGCCCTGGTGTGTTGGCATTCAGGTGGCTCTGGGAGTTCCCGGTCCTGGGGACAAGGGCAAGAGTTCTCTGCAGGGGAGCATGGCAAGGGGCTCGTGGAGAACGGAAGCTTCTGGATTGGCCAAGGGCCCCACTCAGGGGACACAGACCCCTTGTCCCCACCCTGCTGGGGCTCTGCTTGGCTGCATGCCCTAGTGCGGCCAATGAAGCTGAGGCTGCGCTCCTCACCCCTGCGGTGCCCCAGGCAAGTTGCCACTCTCTCTGGCCTTGGTTTCCTGCAGGAGTGAGCAGTCTGGGTGCTGCCGTCACAGCAGGTCCTGGGGTCCAGGGGGAGCATGCAGGACGGGGGCCAGGGCAAGACCGAGCCCGTGGCAGGAACGTGACCCTGAGGCCTGTGCCCACCATGCAGGGGGCATGTGGTTCCTGCTGCAAGGAGGCCCAGCAGCACCCCTAGGCTTTGGGCTCTTGAGGGCTGTGGAAGCCTGGGAACCAGTAAGGTCAAAGTTGGGGTGCTGGAAGGGTGAGGGGAGACAGCTTCACTGACCCCATGGTCATCACTGGCAGGAAGGGACCTCCAAGTTTGCCACCCTGGAGATGAACCCCAGGCGAGCTCAGAGGCGGCCAAAGGAGATGGTGCGTGACCATTCGGGCCCAGCGGGGAGGGGCATCCCCAGCCCTGGGACTCTGTTGTCCTACTGCCTCAGGTGCCCAACCTGACCAGCTGGCCCTGTGGGGGATGAGATGCAACCACCTGAGCCGGGCCAGGCACAGCCCTTGGGGAGGGGTGTGGGTAGGGGTTGTCATGCTTTGGGGAATCTTCAAAATGCCAAGCTGGGAGGTGACCAAGAGTGTGGGGACCGTGGGATCTAGGAAGGGAACCCAGAATAAGGCTGGCTGAGCTCCCCAGGCAACGAGGAGCAGGAGGCCAGGGCCCCTGGGCCTCACTTCCCACCTTCTGCCTGCCGCCACAGGGTGTTATCCAAGGCACTGTCCCCTACCTGGGCACGTTCCTCACTGACCTGGTGATGCTGGACACTGCCATGAAAGACTATCTATATGTGAGTGAGCTGGCCGGAGCTGCGGTGGGGAGCAGCTCTGGAGGGCTGGATCCTGCCCCTGGCCCTCAGTACTCGCGGGAGCCTTGTGGCTGGCCCCTCCCTCCAGGGACCCCAGAGCTGCCTGGCCTTGGGGTGGCAGCAGGGTTTGGTCAAACTGGGCACAGCCAGTCTCGAGAAATGGCTGTGGCCTGCAGAGTGGAGCTGGACTCTCCAAGTCCAGGAGGCTCTTGGTGACCGAGCAGGACCATCTCACTCAAAGCCTCAGCCTCTCCACTGTCCTCAGAGAGGGCAGACAGGGCAAATAGTTCAAGAGCCTCTGCCCCCAGGTCCCCGGTCCTGGCGGCACCCGCAGCCCATCTTAGTCCTGGTGTGGGTTCACCTTGCCCCCTGGTGGACACTCCTGGTAGTGCAGCATGCGGTGAGAGGCCCTAGTGGGGGAGGGGCAGCTTTCTGATGTCCGCTGCTATCCACCTTGCAGGGAAGACTGATCAACTTTGAGAAGAGGAGGAAGGTGAGTGGCTGCTGCATGTCAGAAGGGGGTCCTGCCTGGAGGGACGCTCGACTCCATGCCCCTGGTTCATGGGGAGGTTTGGTTCAGAGAGGAGCCTCCCTAGGGGGGGTAGAGACAGTTTAGGTGTCCGGACAACTTCCTGGGACTGGCGGCTTAAACCCTTCTGAGAACAGGGAGGAGCCTGCCGTGGGGGCCCCGAGGCCAGCACCCGCCCAGGTAGCCGCCACCTGCCCCTGCTCTGCCCCAGGAATTCGAGGTGATCGCCCAGATCAAACTGCTGCAGTCTGCCTGCAACAACTACAGCATTGCGCGTGAGGAGCACTTTGCAGCCTGGCTCGGGGCCCTGGAGCGGCTCAGCGAGGCTGAGAGGTGAGGGGGCAGGACCGGGGACAGCGAGCGTGGGCTGTGCCTGGCTCCGCCTGCTGCCCAGGCCACCGTCAGGGTCCCGCCTCTGGCCTGCTGGCAGCAGTGGTGCCTGAGCTCCAGCTTTGGGGGCCCCAGGGAACACGTGGCTCCTGCCAGCCTCGTGCCCCTCTTGCCCGTAGCTACAGCCTGTCATGCGAGCTGGAGCCCCCATCCGAGTCGGCCAGCAACACCCTCAAGTCCAAGAAGAGCACAGCCATCGTCAAGCGTTGGAGCGAGTAAGTGCCTGGCCCAGGACGGGAGTCGCTCAGGGCCAAGTGTGGGCTCAGTAGCCACAAGGGAGACCCGGGCCCAGCCTACAGTGCCGTGGGCCTCGGCTTCCCCAACGTGAGTGGGTGCTAGTAAATGATCTCGGCAGCTGGGGCTAGGAGCCCGACACCTGACCCAGCTCACAGCCTGGAGCATGGAGGGCCACGGGCTGCAGCAGTGTGGCTGAAGGCCCTGGGGGCCCCTCATGCCACCCAACCTTCCGTCCAGCCGCCAGGCCCCCAGCACCGAGCTCAGTACCAGCGGCAGCTCCCACTCCAAGTCCTGTGACCAGCTCAGGTGCGGCCCCTACCTCAGCAGCGGGGACATCGCCGACGCCCTCAGCATGCACTCAGCCGGCTCCTCCAGCTCGGATGTAGAGGAGATCAACATGAGCTTTGTCCCAGAGTCCCCGGATGGCCAGGACAAGAAGGTGACTGACCACCCACTGCCCCCCCCTTCTGGCCATGGCCCTCAGGACTCCAGCTCCGCTGACGACTCTGTCCCCCACAGTTCTGGGAGTCGGCCTCCCAGTCCTCCCCAGAGACCTCAGGCATCAGCTCGGCCTCCAGCAGCACGTCCTCCTCGTCGGCCTCCACCACACCCGTGGCCACCACGCGCACCCACAAGCGCTCCGTCTCAGGGGTCTGCAGCTATAGCTCCTCACTGCCGCTGTACAACCAGCAGGTGGGCGACTGCTGCATCATCCGTGTCAGCCTGGATGTGGACAACGGCAACATGTACAAGAGCATCCTGGTGAGCGAGGGTGCCTGCCCCGGCTCAGCCTGGGTGGACAGGAGCGAAGCAGGCAGTGGCCAGCACCAGCGCGGAGGTGGCAGAGCGTGTGCCCAGCCCCCGGGGCTGTGCGGTCAGGGTCGGCAGGGCAGGGCAGCATTCAGGCTGCTCCGTAAGGCCCTTTCTTAGAGGGACAGAGAGAGGGGGGTCGCACCAGGCTGGTGGCTATGCAGGGGCCAGCACTGTCAGAGTCTGGGTATCACTGGAGCCTACAGCCGACAGGATCCGCCCACAGAATGTGTGTGGGCGTTGGGGAGGACCCCTGCCCACCTCCAGGTGTCTGGCTTCAGAGGAGCCTTTTGTGACCACACGCACACCACCTGCCTGACTCGCCCGCAGCTGGCATGGCTGTCAGCAGCCCCCTCCTGCACGGCCTTGTGTCTGGGTCCCATTTATGCTCTGGGCCAGGGTCCAGGTGCTCAGGGTTCTGGCTTGTGTCACCCACGCTGCTGCAGCCCCTGGGGAAGAGCAGGCCTGGGTCTCAGAGGACCACTGATATGCAGCCAGCTTTTCCGCCTTCATGGTTGGACCAGCGGCTATCTGACCCCAGCCTCAAGGATCTCATTATCCTGGGGACCAGCAGTTTATGAGTGTGGCCGGGGAGGAAAGGCCACTGGGGGAGAATGGGGCTGGGGCACTGGGAAGGAGCCTGCTCGTCACACAGAGGCCACCCTGGGGACACCTGGCAAAGCCCTTGGACACTCCATGGGAGGCCATGCTTGGGCTGCAGTGGTCTGCACCCTGGGAAGCCACCTCATGGCCTGCCATTCCCCAACCCAGGTGACCAGCCAGGACAAGGCTCCCACTGTCATTCGCAAGGCCATGGACAAACACAACCTGGATGAGGATGAGCCGGAGGACTACGAGCTGGTGCAGATCATTTCCGACGATCGCAGTGAGTCCCAAAGGGGCGGAGGGCTCAGCGCCATTCCCTTCCTGGTGCTCAGGAAACACAACGGTCCGGCGGCAGGATACCATGTGCCGTGACCTTCCCTGGGTGCTGTGGGGCCGCCTCACTGCCGGCAGCTCCTAGGCTTCCCCGTCAGCCACTGTGCCCAGGCACGACAGGCATTCCAAGGCCGAGGTCCACCGAGCGGAAGGAGAAGAAGGGATTATTAATGACAGGGAGGCCCAGCCCACTGGGTTCTGATAGGGGCACTTGCTGGCCAAGAGGGAAAACATGGACCTCAGAAAGTCAGGACGGCCATGGACCCATGTGCCGCCTGTTAGAACCGGAGGCCTGGGGAGCCAGGGCACTAGAGTAGGAGCCACGCACGTCCAGAGCTGGCTGAAAGCGGGAGCCCAAGGAGACTCGCTGCCCAGCCAGAGTTGGACCAGGAGGGAGGCTGTGGGCTGGACAGACGAGGCTGTGCCCCTGCAGCCCAAGCAGGGCCATTCCAGGCTCCAAGTCCCTTTCTTTCTTTCTTTGTTTTTTTTTTTTTACTTTTTTCTTTTGTGTGTGTGTGTGTGTGTAACTGGGGTTGAACTCAGGCCCTTGTGCTTGCCAGGGAAGCGCTTATTCCACTGAGCCATCTCCCCAGCCCCAGTAGGAGTCAAAGTGGGAACGGACAATGGGGCAGGCTGTTGTGGGGTTTTTTGTTTGTTTTTGGCAGAACTGGGGATTGAACTCAGGCCCCTGTGCTTGCTAGGCAAGCGCTTATTCTACTGAGCCATCTTCCGGGCTCCAAGTCCCTTTCAACAAGAGCCTCTAGGTTTTATTAGGCCCTGCATAATCTGCCCCGGACAATGCCTTGGGAGGGCCCTTGATTGTCCAGGGATGGATAGGAGGCCACTGAGGTGCGCTGTGGGCCAGGCCTGTCCCAGGGAGGCTCTGAGTGGTGTGGGTGTTCTGTGGGGACCCCGGGAGCACCCCTGACGACCCTCTGCCCCTGCCCCAGAGCTGAAGATCCCTGAAAACGCCAACGTGTTCTACGCCATGAACTCTACTGCCAACTATGACTTTATCCTGAAGAAGCGGACCTTCACCAAGGGCACGAAGGTCAAGCACGGAGCCAGCTCAACCCTCCCTCGCATGAAGCAGAAAGGACTCAAGATCGCCAAGGGCATCTTCTAGGGCCTCTCCCTGGGTTCTGGCGGCCCGGTGGCTCAGCGCTTGTGGCCCAAGTAGCCAGGCCAGGCCCCTCCCTGCTGCCTCCCTGCCAGCCCAGGCCAGCTCCATCTCCAGTCTCACTGAACCTCTCCTGCTGCCGGGATTGACGCCTGCCTGTGACAGGCTGACCTGGCCTCCGTGGACCACTTGCTGCCTTAGGTGCCTTCTGCTTTCTGGAACCAGAGGACCGCGCCACCCTGTCAAGGAGGCCTGCCCCCGGGCGCCACCCTCCAGGCCCTTCCCTGACATCGTCCCAGGTGCTGGTCACTGCCACCTGTGCCCCAGGCACCCCAGGGCGCCCTCGCAGCCAGCGGGACTGACCACTGCCATTCTCTCCTGCCCACGGGCACCAGGCCGTGGCCTTCCAGGGTCCCGGCCCCTCCTGCCACCACTCTAGCCTTTCTTGGGCTGCACCAAAGATTCCATCATCGGGGCTGAGCAGAGCGAGAGGCTCTCATCACCCGCGCTCTTCACCCGTGGGTGTCGCACCTCACGCCACTGCAAGTGCCATTCACCACCGCATTCAGGCTGGGCAAAACCACAGGAGACGGGTCGGGAGAGAAGGGGGCTTGGGGGAGGCGGAGGGCAATTGAATATTTGTATAAAAAGGAAAAGATGTTTACTGATTGGGGCGGGGCAATATTTATTTGTTGTAAATAGAAAATGCTAGACTTGAATATTATATTAAAACCTCGTTTCTACTACAGCCTGGTCGGCGTGGCTTTGTTCTTTGCTTTCCTGCAGCAAAACAGCTCACGAGAAGACAGGCGCTCATGTTTCACGCTGAAGTGCAGAGCCTCACGGGTTCTGCTTCTAGCGTGTCCCGCCCTTGGGCAGAAGTTCACATCCATGTCATGGAACTGGCTGGTACCCAGAGCGCCTGAGATGAGGGGTTGGAGGTGCTGGGGATGCAGGCCACCTCTGGAATTTGGACGTCTTTAAAGTAACATTTGTGGTCTGGTGAGATGGCTCAGTGGTCTAAAGCACCTACTTGGAACAAGCTTAGCAAAGCACAAATGACCACAGTTCGATCCCCAGCACCACATGCCAGCCAGCCCCGCCCCCTGGTGGGCTGAGCTGGCCACACACACACACACGCACACACAAATAAATAAATTTTAAAAAAAAATAAAAAAAAAAAAAGTAACATTTGCCACAGAAAATAGCAGAGTAAAAACTCAGTCTTCGGGGAAGCAGCGTTGAGGGTGACAATGGAGGAACCGGCAGAATCTACTCCTTGGGGTCTCAAGTCTGCTTGGACACGGCCACCACCGGGGGCACTTGCTAGAGGCAGCCGCTGTGAAGCTGATCTGTTGGGCTCTCAGTGGTGCAGCGGGAAGTCCCGAGACCCGAGGCACCCAGCCTGCACACGGCGTCAGCAGGGCGAGCCCCAGGCCATCCATAAGCAACAGGCAGGCGCTACACACTGACAGTCTGATTTCCAAGTGACTGCATTCTAATACCCAGTGTTCAGTTCCCCCAAATTACAAAGCCCATGAAGGAAGCCTGTCTTACAGGAACAGAAATGTAATAGGAGTTGGCAGGAGCTGCCCCAGGGAAGCCCCAACGTGAGACGTTGTAGTCAACAGTGGTAAGAAAAGCATGAATGGCATACAGGAAAGAAGTGAGCAGGGGAGGTTAGGCCCTTCTGTCTCAGCAGTTACTGGGAATGAATGGGTTGAACTCTCCAACTTAAAAGCCAAGGTTTGGGGGATGTGGTGGTGCACACCTGTGACCCTACCGCTCTGGGAGGCTGAGGCAGGATTGACTGCAACTTGTGCAGCTTACCAAGGCCCTATCTCAAAAAACAAGGGGTGCAAAGAAGTAGCTCAGCGCGAAGGTACTAGGTTCAATCTCTTAATACCAAAAGTTCATGAAGAATAAGATTAACAAAACAGATGTAAAGAGAAAAACTCCATGATCTGTGTTATATATTCAAAGAGATTCACTTTGAATGCAAAGATAAAAACATACTGTAAAGAGAGAAAGAGATTCTCTGGAAATAGTATATTTTAATAATGACTGTGATCAAGCAAAAAAAGTAGCAAGGGACAAGGCCAATGTATTTTGGTAGAAGTCTAAATTCTTCAAGAAGATGCAGTTGTAAACATGCACATCTGCTGTTACCCCAATATCTGAAGCAACACGCAACATATGTGAAGGGAGAAATGTATCATTGGAGCCTTCATGTGCCTGTCGTCCCAGCAGACGGGAAGCTGAGGCAGGATTGCTGCAAGTCTGAGGCCAGCCTCGGCTACAAAGTAAGTTCAAACCAGCCTGAACTGCATAGCAAGACCATGTCTCAAAAAGCAAAAACCCCAAAACAGCCAATCATGGACAGAAAATCTAAGGGGAAGTAGAACGTGAGCGGTGATATAAAAAGCTTAGACCGAGGACAAGCCTACACGAACACTCTACTCAACCCTGAACCCATGTTCTCCGGGACACCAGAGACATCACCTGGGATAGACCGTGTGACAGGCCATGACACAAGTGTTAGCTGATTGGCGATCATAGAATATTTTCCCAGCTACACTAGAATGAAACAGGAAATCAACGGCAGAAGGGAAACAAGGATGCTCTCAAACATGGAAATTAAAAAATATACTCTGAAATGACCAATGGATGAAGGGACTCTCCATGGAAACTAGATACTCTGCAAAAATGAAAACAGGAAAACGATATGGCAAGATTTAAGGCACACTGTGAACCAAAAGCTTTGCTCACAGGGACATTTATAGCTGTCACCACCTGCCTTTGCAAAGAAAGTTCACAAGCCAATGAGCAAACTGTGTACCTTAAGTCAAAACAAAAAGTCAAACTGAACACAAAAGCAGAAGAAAGGAAATGATTGGTAGCAGATAGAGAATAGAGACGCAGTGGAGAAAATTAGTAACCTCAAATGGTCACACTTTTAAAAAGATCAACAGGGCTGGTGAGATGGCTCAGTGGTCTAAAGCACCTACTTAGAACAAGCTTGGCAAGGCATCAGGGACCACGGTTCAATCCCCCAGCACCACATGCCAGCCAGCCCCGCCCCCTGGTGGGCTGAGCTGGCCACACACACACACAAAATAAAGAAATAAATAAATATTAAAAAAAATAAATAAATAAAATTTAAAAAAAAAAAAATAATAAAAAAATAAAAAGATCAACAAAGCAGTGGTTTAAAAAAGGACTCAAGACACTAAAGTTTGAAATCAAACTGGGAACGGTGCTACTAACTTTGCAGGGGAGTGAAAAAATCACGGCATGCCAGCTAACATACAATATAATATTCAGCCACGAAAAGGAAGAGAGCGGTGAGATGTATTACAAGGTGGGCGAATTGCAAAGGTTATGGTTCCACTTCAAAGGATCAAATAGATTCATAGAGACAGAAAGGAGGGTGTTTTGTATTTAAGACATCAAGTTTCTATTTGGGATGATGGGAAAACTTTAACCATAATGGAGATGGTGGTGTAAAACAGCCTGAATATAATTAGCTTAGTTTTAATGAATAGTTAAATTGGCATGAGTGTGTTACATGGTTTAGGGGAGTGTTTCTCTCTCTCTCTTCGCTCCTCCCCCTGCCTTCCTCCCTCCCTCCCTCTCTCTCTCCCCCTGTGTGTGGCAGGACCCAGGACATTGCACAAGCACTGCCAGAGTGCAGCGATTACATGGTGCATTGCCATGGCCAGCTTCTAGTCCATTTTTAAAATTTTATTTTAAAATGAGGTTCACTGAGTTTCCTAAAATGGCCTGAAACCTGCAATTAGCTTACCTCAGCCTCTCAAGTGGCTAGGATTATAGGCCAGCGCTCATCTATGTTATGAGTATTTTATCACGATTTTTTGGGTTTTTATTTATTTTATTTTATTTTATTTTTTGTAGTACCAGGGATTGAACTCAGTACCTTGCATTTGCCAGGCAAGCACTTATTCTACTGAACTATCTCCCCAGCCCCAAAAGGGCAGAAGGATTTTTTTGGGGGGGGGCACCTCAAGATGGCTTCAGGGCATTTCTGGTTTGGCGGGAGTATCTGGGTTCGAATAACAGCATCCTGAGCCTGACTGCTTTGCTTAAGCAGGACTTAACCGAGCTAATGAGCAGGCCCCCACAATTATTTTTTTTTTTTTAATTTTGCAGCGGTCATTTCCTGACCCGAGACAGCAGCTGCCTGCCACCACTTTGCAAGAAAAGAAACGCTGCACACGTGCTGGGTCTCTAACTACCAATTAGGAATTTGTTGATTCCGAGTCATATTTAGTATTCAGCACTAATTAGTAACAAAAATTACAAAGGGATCAAACATGCCAGCATGAGGCTTGGGGAGAGTGGCAGCCTGGGGACCCGCAGGACTTAGCTCACTCCATCCCTCCTAGGAACGGCGACCTGCCTTCCCTTAGACTGGAATCCTGAGGGTATCTGCTGCCAGCCACAGATTGTCTTCCCTGCTGACCACAGATGCAGCCCGTGAGGTGACAGCGGGCCTTCTCACAAGCCCTGGCTTCCTGAAGCCAGGCTCCCACATCCCTTGATTCCCTGTTACATGCATTTCACCCGGAAAAGCCCCAGATGCCCCCCGACTCACTACCAAATCCCCGGAGACCACCCTGGGGCCTTTGGATGAGGCTGAGTGCTGAGTCCTGCCAGCAGGAGACCCCCTCAGCTGCTGTGGGCAGGGCTCCCCTCCTCCATGATGAGGATGAAGATGTGGACTTCCTGGAGGCTGCGGATGGACCACGATGGCAGGGTGGCATCAGGCCAAGCACTTGTTGCTGTTACACATGACCTGTGGCAATGGCAGTGAAGCTGTGGCATTTGTGCCACAGTGGGAACAGAGAGAACTGTCACAAGTTGTATGAGTTTTTTTTTTAACTGAAACTTCAGCATTCAAGTTGCAGAGTTGGCACTTCGCTAGGGGTTGTGGTTGGCACTTAGTCTCTAAAAAGTTCACCATCACTGGCCAGGAGGCCACAGGCCTGCCCTTCCCCTAGCCTAGTTGGAAGATCAAAGACAAAGTAAGATGAGAGATGTGGAGTTTTATTCAGGAAGAGCTCCGGAGAGGAGGCAGGCCTGGGGACCCACCCTGGTGGCTACTGGGAACAAATTCAGGGCCCTTAGAAGCCAATGGCTGCAGGCATCTGAGGAGCTGGGGAGTCATCAGCAGGGAGTACAGGGGCAGCTTCGGAGTCATCTGCAGGGGGCACGGGGGCAGCCTCGGAGTCATCCAAAGGGGGAACAGGGGTGGGCGCATTAGCCACCGTGGGCAGCGCCTCGTAGGTCCCGGTCCAGAACTGGAAAAACTTCGTCCTCCAGTGCTGCTTCATGGAGTCACTACCCATCTTCTTAGTGATGTCCAGATAGCTGCAGTCGTCCGTGGCATAGGGATACCAGTGTGTGGGCACAGCCGAGAAACCATTGTTGGGGTCCCTGCAGAGTGAGAACCGGATGAGTGGGGGCAGAAGGCCCTAAGAGCCCAGAGACTCCCAGCCAGCTCTGTGCATGGCCCTTGGGCCTCCGCACCGACCTGATCATGACTCAGGCCTGGCTGAGGAGCTCGGGCGCCCGGTCCTCAGCTCCAACCCTCACATAGAGATGGAGATGCCAACGCCAGGAGGTCATGCAACACACGCAGAGCCTCCCCGCGGTAAGGGAGGGAGCCGGGACTAGATCCCAGACCACGGGGCTGGGGCCCTCGAACCGCTGCTCGGGTCCCAGGTTGGGTTCATGCCTTACCCAGTCCTGGCAAAGTTGGTCCAGTAGGCGATCATGGCCTTGGACACCTTCCTGTCCTGGGCACGGTAGCCCAGGGGGGTGGCGAAGGGCTTTCCAAAGACGTACTGGAGGTCATCTGCATGGTCGGCACCCATCCATTTGGGGTAGATGGGCATCCGAGAGGGCATGGAAAAGAGGTAGGCGTAGGTCCTGGCTCTCCTGAGGGAAGAGACACAGCCTAGGTGCGGGGCTGACCCACCTGAGACTGCCCAGCCACAAAGGGTCCTGGAGAGAGCTTGGGAGCAGGGAAAGGCAGGGAGTCCCCACCAGGACTCGCAGGGAAACCCGGGCTCCTACACCTGGCTGGGGGACAGCGGCAGCCTGGGCTCCGGATCCCGCAGTCCGCACTGCGCTTGCCCCTCCCCCATCCAGCCAGGTGCCCACAGAGCAAGTGCAGCGCAGGGCACGGAGGATTCAGCCTCGGCGAGGCTTCCTGCCCGCTCCGGAAGCTTCCTCCGTGTGCTCCCATTTCTCATCTGGCTGCACAGGGCAGGGGCCCTCAGCGCCTCCCTCTCTCCAGGTCGGGGAAGCTCAGACCTCGGGTGGCTTGTCATGGACGCACGGCATGGAGAGCCA